TTTTCTTCCAGAAAGCTGCCATATCTACCCTAATAGAACTCCATCAAAGCCTGCAAACCAGCCCCCCCCCCCACACACACACACACACACACACACACACACACACACACACACACACACACACACACACACACACACACACACACACACAGAGACTGACATCACCAAAGCATGCCTCAGGTATTGGTCAATGAACCACAGACAACTTGACTATAAAGGAAACTTGTTAAAGTAAGCACAAGGAGGCAACTTCCTTTCTGTACACAAACACAAAGAAGCTCATTAACCTGCTTCCATCCTGCAGTAAACAAAGCACAATAACTTGTTGTAGTTATCGGCTATCCACTGTAGCAGCAGTTTCCTTAAATAAATCTCCATCCTTAATGCAACACTGTGACAGGCGTGTGAGTCAGTCTCCAAAGGGTACTCCTCAAACAGGCCTTGTTCTGTTCATTTTCAAGGTGGAAAGTCCCAGACGCGTTTCACCCTGATGTAGATCTCTCCATTTCCACAGAAGCCAGATGAATACAAAGAGAATGCAATATTTGAAAACAAATAACAACATTTATGGGCATTGCATTTCCCTCGTAGGCCACCCTGAAACACCTTCATATTGCTCTTGTGTTTCTAGCTGTTTAACTTTCTCTGTCATCGTTTGCTTGTTTTTCTGTGGTTTAGGAAAACAGGACAACAGCAACTTTTCCTCTCTTCTCCTCTGTATTTTTGCCCTCCACTTTCTCTATCCAGCCTCTAATTCATCCTTAGCCGTGATGTTTCGACCGGGAATTCTGGAATTTGGCTTCTGGGTTTTTGGGGGGTTTTTTCCGTGGAAACTTTAATGGAGGAAACAGTGGTACTTTAAATGTGTGATACTAGAGTGTGATTTTACACTGTCAGACAAGCCAAATATGTTCCGCTCTGTACAACATTTGTTCTAGCAGGCAGGCTCTGAATGGTTTTTCAGTATGGCGAGGCAGGGTCAGGGATAGGGGACATACACAGGGCCAAACCTCAACTACAAATCCACAGTACAAGCCACGCGTCTCACCTTACTGCCTGCATGCCCTGTGTCCCATCCCAGGACTAGGTGATCCGTCTCTCCTCACTTTCTGCCTGTCTCTTAAAGTGTCCATACTTTTTTCACCTGAAAGTCGAGACATACCGTCGAGCAGAGCAATATCTATTTGCTGGGCCTTCATGCCATATGAAGCTATTTAAAACTATGTTTCTTATTGACATTGTTTGCATTGACAGCCTATAGGGATGTAAGGAACGATATATGAGGATTCTAAATTCACATTACTTTGTTAGGACTTTGTTATGTACATTACAGTAACTGGTTAAAACCATTTAACACAACAGTTTGAATATATGCACAATGAAATAGCAAAAACCTGCACTTTCCACTTCTTTTCCACATCTTAAAGTTTTCTGTTAATGACTGTAGGACAATAAAGGATTTATGTCCTGTGGGTGATGTAGGTGTCATCACACAAACCATGTATCTTGAACATGGCTGTAATGGGTATGTTGATCAGCACTGTCATCGTTGCTTTTAGCAACTGAATCGTCTGAAAATGTTCATAATTTGCCAGAGATTGTGCAAACTTTTAAAGACTACGAGAGTGTATCCAGACAGCTGGAAAGTAATCCATAAACACTCTTGTCGACTCAGTGGTTATGCAACATTGTGGGAAAATGTGACTGTCTTGAGACACTTTGTGGTGTTTATAAAAAGTCTCTATACTTGTGCTTTTCACATACGTGTTATCCAAATATGTGATTGTTTTACAGCAAGCAAAGTTTGGATACTCTGATGTTTTTCAGTTTTATACAATAAAATCCTTTTCAATGAAGTCCAAAAGGAGAAGTAGCCTATAATTAAAAGGTAGAGTCATATACTGTATTTCACTCCCAGTTCCAGACAGTGTATTAATCATCCTCGTTTCCTTTATTTGTGCATGGCAGTTTGTTGTATGACATTAATCTGCCTGGAGTCCCGTTCCAAACCAAACTCTCTCCATTAAGCTCCTGCTCACTGTTCAAACTAACAAATGCTCCACATGCTCATCATCATCATAATTATGAGAGAATTCAAATCAACCATCATTTTCTTTGCGTGTTTTACAAGAAATCACTTCTCTGTCCTCTGGTAGCAGTAACAGTGATACTGCATGCAAGGAAACATTGTGCTGAAATTGCTGTGCAGACAGGGATGAGATGAGGAATCTTTTTCCACTGGCTAAATTTCAGCCAAATTGTCCAGTTCCTTCGCACAGTTGTTTGTTTTTTGTCTGTCCCTGCGTGGAGCGTTTATGTTCTCCTGTACATTCAATGTATACATGGAGCCAGACGATTACGCCGAGCAATCATGTGGCTCCATTCTGTAGGGTTTGAAGAGATGAAAGCAGAGATTAATAAGGAGAGTCGTATATTTCTGCTACCAGGGTGCTGCACAGTTCAGTCAGATACGCATTGTTTGTGGAGTACAGTTGTTAAGCACACGTGAGGTTGGCACTCATTTGAACACCCACAATGTGGGTACAGCAAGTCAAAGGAATGACATGTCATCAGCAGACACGATGTGTCTTTTATTTTCTCTCTGCCAAAATGCGCTTAGCGTTCCCCCGGGGCACTCCTAGGCTTAGCTGGGTGGAGGGTTTGTGCTTATAGAGTGCTACCGGGAGGCTGCTGTAAATGAAAAGCATTTTGGTGGGTTTATCTGATTGAACACACATGCTTGTTAAACAAGTGGCATTGTAAACACCGGCAGCCTGGCGGGAATGGCCACTCTCATTAGCAAGCTCATAATGAGCGAGATAAGGATCTAAGATGGTCTAGCTGAGGTTGAGAGGCTATGGTTAATACACAGGAACCACGGCATCTGTGCATGTGTGTGTTTGTGGTTAGTGGACCTCACAGTACACCATGGGAACATAAGCCACTACACATGTTTGTACTACAAGTAAGCCATGTAATAAGATGGAGGGTATATTGTGCATAAGGTGCATGTATCTTCGTGTGTGATTGTGCATGTGCCCATCTGTGCGAATGTGCACACATTTGTGAACCTGTATATGTGTTTCCAAGCTTGAGAGAGGGTTTAGGTCACCGCTTCTTCAGAGAATATATGTTAGCGAAGAAGTGCATAGAAAACAGAAATTTATTTTAAGTAGTAATTAAAAGCCAGTGGTTGTGTCTCAGTATAAACAGACCATATATTTGGACACATGTAGGTAATCATCAGAAAAACACAAATGTTTGCCAGCTGACCACCGTCATAATATTGCACTTTATAATTGGGAAGTTTTCAGACATGTGCAGCATGTGTCTCTGAGTCCATCTGTTCTCTTTAGTGATAATACTTTTGCAAAATAAGAAAACCCACAAAAATTCAAGCTTGTGTCACTGTGTCTGTCAGCACCTGCTAACATCTCTACTTGTTTATTTGTGTTACTCATGTATTTTCCTCTCAGCCAAAGGCATCTCCTCCTAGTGGTCTTTTGATGATGTGCACCAGATGATGTGAGGTGAACGTTTTCCAACACAACACAGGGCTTATATGTGTGTTAGACACAGATGAAAGCAGACTTTTAAAAAAAAACATAGATCTGCAATGACAATTACAAAAGGTTTACTAGAAAACAACTCTTTGCTGACACAGTTGCTGCAACTATTAAAGCGCAGGAGGTGGTGTTTAAAATGCTGGGAACGGCAGTTTAAAGTGCTGCTGCGTAGTGGACCGACGAGAGCGATCGTGTAACGTAATGAGTAGAGGGATGCTGCGTCCTCTTCTCCTGCTGCAGTCAGTTGACAGAGCAGTGGATAGTTTACAGGAACTCTGGGAGCCTTGGCTTGGAACGCTGAAGCTGTGGTTTAGGAAAACGGGACAACAGGAGTCTTTCCTTTCTTCGGCCGTCTGTTTTAACTTTGTTTTTTTCCCCCTCTTTCCTTTTTTTTAAAATCTCTCTCTCTCTCTCTTGCTCCCTCACTCTATCAAACTGTGGTCTGGGAAGGCATGTCTTCCTACCTTTGATTTAGTTTTTTTTCTTTTTCCTCCAGTCTTTGTCAGGGGTCTGTGGTGCTGGAGTCAGCAAAAACTGCAGGAAAGCACTATGTCAGGCTGTCTTCTGTGTTGCAGTCTGGCCTGCTGCAGGGGGAGGGCCTTGCTATCTGACTTAAACAGGAAGGCATTTATATCCTCAACATGCCATGATTTTGGCAATAGTCTTCTGAAGACCCTGCGAACACAGCCAGTGGAAAGTCTGATCCATTAACAGAAGGGCAGATTGATACCTCACCGCATATGGCACCAAATTTGTCTGTTGGTGCTGTTCGCGTTACCACTTCACTCCACCTGTCATTCCCACACATGCTCCTGTGTTTGTCAGGCTTTTTCCTCAACTGTGAATCATTTCAGACTTTCCCACCTCTTTTTTTTCTGTTATTATTTTATACTCACTTATCATGTGATATTTTGGTTTCTTTAGGGACAGAAAGGTTTCCCTGGCCAACCTGGACTCCCTGGAGAGCCTGTAAGTATTTTCACAGGTGTTCTTTTTTACTTCTGCAACAGCCACCCTCACAGAAAAACCCATGTTCATTTCTATATCTTGTATATTCTCATTATATATTTTGCTTCTTTAACCTTAAATCTCCCCAGATGAACTCTTTTCTTTTAGGCACTTCTCTCTACCTCATGCACATCACATTATCTGCAATGCCATGCCTTCATTAGTGTCCACGTATGTCATTCACGTCCACCTCACTCAAGTCTAAACCCTTGCTCTCGCTTCATTCTTCAAAATTGAAACTCAGTCATCATTCACTCCAGGTGTTCAACCTTTCACTCTGTGTGTATGTGTGCGCGCACCGAGGATGCCAGCTGGGCAGCCAGATTAGATTAGCCTGTTATAAAGCACTGGTGAGGACAGACATCTGGCCAAAGCACTGTGTTAAAGCGATGCACTCCATGATATCAGAACGTGATGCCAAAGAGAGGAAAAAATAGAGGGAAAAGAAACAGGGACAAGCCAAGTAGGCCAACAGTGACACACTCAGTGGCTGCTACTCCGCAGTCCTGGAGAAAGTTTCCCTTTGTGTGTGTCTCTTCTGCTCCGGGCTTGTCGTTCAACCGTCACACTGTCTTACAGCATGTCACACTATGACATGCTATGCTATTTTCTAGCAGGCCTTTATTCTTTGTCATATTTCCCAGGTCATTTATCTGTTTGACTTTCCTTAATCTGTGGGAATCCATTCAATGAAGTCTTTTATTCACTGCTAAGTGACGGAAGACATGACTCTGGCTGTTTAGTCCAGCCCAACACTATTTTTAAGCATGGAGCATCCAGCCTTGCGTCCAAAGTTATTTCCAATTAGGCAAGGTCATGCTACTGTTTGCATTAAAGAAAGATCTTAGTCATCAAAAGAGAAGTGGAAATTTCTCCTCACTGTCACAGCCGTGCTCAGGATGACGTCATCAGTTTGGGGAGTTCCTGCTCTAGTCATTGTAGAGAAGGTACTTTTTACTAATATGCCCTCCCACTCGATTCATCCTCAAGCGCCCCCCTGTTTCCCACATAGCTGGTTCCTTTTGATGACGATCACAGTGTAAATCACCATACTGTTGTGTGCAGTAACACAGTGTCTTGATGACACTGTGTTACTGTAATGCACCACAGGCTGTATTCAGAGCCTAAACCTACAGCTGGTCAGTTAAAGGCCCAAATGTCACAAAGCCAAATTCATGGCGTGTTTTAACTGGCAGCATCATACACATTTATCCGAGAGAGGGAATGGCAAGGAAAGTAAGACACAAACGCTTGTCCTCTGCAAATTTTAAACACAACCTGCTTCTGTGCACATGTCTTATGCCTTCTGACAGTGACATATACAGTACATGCATGCAAACCAAACTGCTAATTAGGGTCTATGGTCTGGAACACATCTGAAAAGTGAGGAGTGAAAGAAAGAAAAAGAAGCTTTTCATGGTAATCAGTGGGAACAATTCAGTGGGGTGGAATGTCACCAAGTTCATCTACACAAGTACTCTACTTAAGTACCAATTTGAGGTGCATATACTTTTCTAGAGTGTTTATTTCCTTGCCATTTTAACATAATAATAAAATATGATCTTTTAAATCAAAACAATTCTAAAAAAAAAAAACGCAGCCGAAGGTTTTTTCCTGTTAAAAGGGAGTTTTTCCTTCCTACTGCCACCAACTGTTTGCTTATGGGGGGCAGCTGATTGTTAGCGTTTTCTCTGTAGTACTTTAGGGTCTTTACCGTAGAACATAAAACAGCTTGAAGTGATTTCTGTTGGGATTTGACGCTATATGTATAAATAAATAAATAAATAAATGACATTAAATCTAATTAATAAAAAGAACATATTGGAGACATATAGTTATTATACTTATCAATCACTGTATTTCATCCCATCTGCGTTGTCTACCTCACTGAAACCATTCACTGCTATGAATGGCCTGCTTGTGTGTGTTTGTGTTGCTGCAATTTTGATTGCCCACCCTACCGCTCTCTCCCTCTCCTCCACCTTCTTATTTGTCTCTCTCTTTCTCTCTTCCCCGCAGGGTGAGCAAGGTCCAGTTGGGAGCCCAGGTGCCAAAGGTTATCCTGGCAGGCAGGTGCAGTAAATCCTCTCCTGTGACTGGTACAGTTGTAGTCAGGGCCGTAGTAAGGGCAGAGGGCCAAGAGGAATTAGGTTATGCTAAGCAGATGGCCTGGAGGAAAAAAACATATTTGGGTAAATACTAAACAGAAGAAAATGAAAAATAAATGCCTCAGAAATTAACATAGAGATCCACTTCAGTATTTAAGCCATAGCTGCTATACAGAAATGTATGGCAGTGTATTTTTGTACAGGAGTATTTATTATTGTGTCCTGTCACCTTTCCCCATTGGGGAGGTTTCTGTTATTTTTATAATAAACCTTACCAATTATAATATTAGGATGTATCTCTGTTGCATTGCTTTTTAAAATATTCCATTCTAAAGTTAAACCTGTAGACTTTGGTAAAACCCAAATGAAGTACTTCAGGCACAGCTTCAAGTGCAGGGCTGCTAAATTAAATTCCTCTTTTTGATTTTCAGGGTTTACCTGGGCCTATAGGACCGATGGGGCCTAAAGGCGTTCGGGTAAGGAGTCAACTTTCTGCTCTACAAATGTGCTGCTCAAGCTTAGATCTGTCTAAATGACCAGTATTGATGTTTTGACAGGATCACTGAATATGCTTACTCGTCTCATGACATTTATATAAAAAAAAATGCACAAAGAAGTTGCTAAATTAAGGGCCTGCTCACAAGCATTAGCATTTTGTGCTAGAAAGCTGTTGTTGGATGAGCACTTACTTGAATGCAACACCAGCCAAATGCTAGTATGTATGAAAGCATGCATGGCAGCAGTTGCACCAGCATCCAACACCGCACACATAAATAAACACACACTCAACTGGTGTGTGTACCACTGTTAATAGCGTGCTAAACTTAGGAGCCTTGTAATACAAACATTGTGTTACTGTATACAGACTCTTATTCAAAGACTGGCTGTTGATAAGCCTCCTCATGCAAACCAACACCCTTTAGGCACACAAACAAAAAAACAGACGCGGGTGACACAAACTGATTTTTATGTTGCATTTCAATAAAGGTTCTTTATCAGTTTCCCTTGGCTGCTCCGAAGCCTTCCCCTGCCCCCACTGGCTGGAATTTCCTGTTTAAGCTCAGTTTGAGGCCCTGCTGTCTTAAGGAGGCATTCTAGTCCCCCTTTTGCTCACTGCACTACCTTTCTCTGTTTTCTGCTCTCTTTCCTTTGCTGACTACTACGTATTGTGTAAACTCATCTGACGCCTTGCTTCTAACTAGCACCTGAACTGTTCCTCCAGCGTTCAACTGTGGTGTTTCTGCTTGTTGTCGTCTGTGTGTGTCTCCACCATACTGACAGCCCAGTGTGATGTCCTGGCTATCTTCAGAGATCCCTGGCGTGAGGGTATGTGCCCTTGGACTACATCGTGGAAGCCAGCACCATGCAGTCCATGGGCATATACACTTGCCTCATGGCTTGGTTCTTCATGCAAGCCAACCCAGTCCGTGGTGGACCATCATCCACTGAAAACCAGCCCCAGAGCCATTAGGGTTTTTTTTCCTACTGCTTTTATACTATCCAAATACTCATCCATATTCCTCCTGTCTCCTCTTCTCTCCTTCAGGGTTTCATTGGAATCCCAGGCCTTTTTGGCCTGCCCGGTCCTGATGGCGAAAGAGTGAGTCCTTTTCAAATGTATATTTCTCTCAAGCAATCGGTAACTCAGAAAATGTACACAGACCAGCCGAATCCAGCTAATGGGCCTGCGAAAGGACAGCATTTCTTCTTCTGCATTTTGTACATTCAGCTGTCTTGTTGTTATAACACGAGAAGCAGTCTCCAGCTGTCCGAGATGCTGCTGTATAAAGCTGTGTGGGAGTGTTGATGACTCATAATAAAAGCCCCTCTTTTAAGGCCTTTGAACTGCCTGAACTCACTAAGGCCTCTTACTTCTGTACAGCCATTTGCCTACTTATGACACGGTCCAGAAGGTTGCATCAGCACAGGATAGGCTGTAATCACAACTTGTACCATCTGTAGCCAGAAAGATATACATAAAGCCGAGACTATGCATAGCTCTCTTCTTCCAGCAGACTCTTTTTCTCATTTAATCGACATATGTGCACAATGGAAGCCTAGATCTCTCATAATAGGTTAGAAAATATAGGCTAGGCTGCAGTCAGCTGCTGTTCACATCTGCTGAAGCAGGAGAGGAGACAGGCTTACGGCTATGGCTTTTTAATAGTGTGTTTTGGGCTTGAATCAGTTCTACCCAAAAGTGCTATGTTTTGATTTTGATATGGCTTTTTACATAATGTCTGACTCTGTCTTTCGTCTTTGTTTCTGTCTTCTTTTCACCCTTTCTGTTCTGCTTTCTTTTCTACTTCTGCTCTCTCTGTCTTGTTTGGATTTTCAGGGTATACCCGGCGAACCAGGGAAGAGGGGCAAGATGGGTAGGCCGGTAAAGTTTTGTCTCAACATACTTTGCAGATAATCTTTCAAAAATGTGATGAATTGTGCTGGATGTGCTCATTTTGAATGTTTGCTTTGTTATGGATGCTGATTATAGCTTTTAGAACTTTAAAGTTCAGAGACAAGTTTGGAAAAAAAAGAAAAATTCCCTGTATTTGGGTCAGATCGAAACTTTTTCTGCAAAGAATCCAACACACATGAAAATTTATAAGGTTTGCGTCATTCTTTCAATCGGCTAAGTATTTCCATGGCTGTTGGAAGGGTTAACTGCAGCCTGAATAGAGTGGAGTCCCACCAGCCGCATGTCGGGGTCTTGGATGTAACAAGAAAAAGGCTTTTGTTGGAGTAATGGGCTTTTGGTCCCCCCCAGCATGGAGCCAAGCCATTTGGAAGGAAGCCGCTGATTCTGTTGTGTGTGTCAGATATAGTGTTCAAAGTCAGTTTGACAGAGTGTTTTAGAAAGAGTGTGTAACCCCCGACACACACTGCTGAGATCATTCTGCAGCTGTTGCTTATTGGCTTTTCAGTAAATAAGGCATTTATTGGCCAAAACGTCTAAACACACGCAAGCGAGTGTCCACTATTGTGAGGCTTTTACAAGTAGATGCTTATTCTGTTATTAGGCAATTGTTTAAGAAGCAGCTGCAGATACAAATTTAGCGCTTCATAAGTTTGTGGGGCCTTTTGCATTTGATTTGATTGCGTTAGATTTATTTATTTTTTTTTGGAGTTTGTATGCGTGGGTGTTCTCCTCACTTAAAGAGACCTGCATTATAAGACAAGTTTTACAGCCATGAAAACGGCACAGGGATATAAAAATATCATTATTTTGGTCTGTTTAGTACCAATATCCGTACATTTCTTATGCATAACATCCTTAAAAGACAGCATTAAATGTACTGAAGTAAATTTAGAAATTAAGCACATTTCTGGCCTGCAAAAGCAACTGAAAGACACACACCTATCGTAATCACTGTCATCTGGTTTCAGTGCTTTTGCATGGAAAATGGAAAGCATGGACGCTTAATGAGATGATCCCTCAGAGATCATCCCTCTGCTCCCTGATGGAACAGAAGAACCACAAGAACACGAGCCAGACATTTTAATAGCCATCACCAGAGCACTTGTACTCTGTCGAGGAAGCACACACACGCACAGTTTGCCATCTACCAATGAGTCAAGAGCGAATATATCTAAAACCATGGAAAGCTTAAAAAGTTTCCAAAGTGCATTGCCAACATTTCTACAAAACCTTTTTTTCTGTTTGGCTGTGTTTGTCTGTTGGTGGTGGTTGTCTTTATCAGGCTCATCTGTTGCAGTTCTTTTATATCAGTTCAGTATCTTGCAGTAAGTGCTGCTGTTGTTTGATCCTTTTTAAGGTTGAGGCTGATGAAAAGGGTGGTCTGACATAATGTGAAAGCAGAAATACACTAAAGGCTCACATGACTCTCCTCAAAGGCTTTTTAAGTACTTGGCAAATCCACGTTTCCCACATTTGTCCTCAGCTCGTACAGCAGCGGCGACAGCTATATGATTCATCTTTTGGGTCACTGTCATCCTTCGTAGATGTGTGTTCCCCCAGCGCTCACAATTTTATCGTACTATAAAGCAGGCTTCTGTTGCACAATGACCCTACTTTCTTCTTCTTCTTCGTTTTTAGGTAGCATGGTACTCCACCTGCTACAGAAACAATGTGCAATTACAGCAGTTAGTGCTGTTAGGATCGCCTCATTGACCTGATGCAAAGTTTCAGGAGAAACATTCAGAAAGCCTCAGTCAAAGGGATTTATTATTGTCTAAAAGTGAGGTTGAAATGGCATTTTGTTTTCAAGAAACAACCTGCAAAGGAGTTGCGTTTAGTCAGCACAATTTGCTTCTAAGTATAGACAGAGATTTAAATGCAGTATATCTAAATCATCTCCACTCTTGCAGAAATAACTGACATTTTCAGGAGGTAACAGTAATTGGCATTTTGAAGCAATGCATTGAGGCCAGAATAGCAGAACCTAGCCATTATGAGTCTTTCTGAATGGTTTGGTTTAAAATGCCTTGGCTCCACTGCTTTATGCAGATGTGGTTTCTCTGCACTAAACCACCAACTGTTAGCAAAGCTCTGATTAGCTTCCCTGTTACTGCTAAATGGACAGGGTAATTACTTGGCTTACGGTAGAACAGTAGAACAGTTGGCTACACACAGCCTACAGCTGATAGATTTAATGCTTTTAATGGAGCCATTATACTCTTATTTTGCGCATATTTCAAATTACTTTATATTTAATGCTATATTTGACTCTGTGAAACTGTTATAATTGCCGCACTATTACAGTAGCAGCACTCTTGGCTGTGCAGCAGTCAGCAGTATTTGTGAAAGTGTGCTCTGTTCACTTGACTCTGTGGTTAAGGCCATTCGCATTGGCATATTTCCCCCAACTACAATGCACTTTTTTTTATTTGCATCAGTATTTGCACAATCAATGCAAATACAATTGCCTTGTGTGCACTAAAGTGACTGTAACTAAATATGCTTATTACAGCAGTAGATCACAAGACTTGTAGAGATGACGCTCCAGAGAACGATCATCCATCTCCAGTGATCATTATCTCTGAAGAGCTTTATACCATCTTTCAGCTTCTTGGTTTGTTTTTGCTTCCTTAAATGTGCTGCTTTGGTTCGCTCTCATTGCTTATCTCAATGTGTCATTTGGCCAATAAAGAAGCAACTGAAAACTTCCTGCTCAGGCTATGACAGGCTCCTTCAGTTAGTGAATCAGTGGATTTGGGGGTGGGGGGGGGCAGATTACAGTGGGCATCACATGGCCAGAACCACTCCTATAATGAATAGTTGTGTCCCTCCATAAATGCTGGATGTGTCTATAAGGAGCTGCTCACCAAATCAATTTGAATGCTGTGTTCACATCTGCGCGTTTCCCCCAAGTTGCCCAAAAATCAGTTGTCTCTGAGCTGAACTAAAAGCAACAGGACATACATTTATGAATACCTACGTTTGAGTTGCTGTATGTCGCCAACATTAAAGTTCCTCTCTCTGTTTTCAGGGGTTTCCTGGTGACTTTGGGGAGAGAGGACCGCCTGGGCCAGATGGAGAGCCAGTATGTCACACGCTTACTTACCCACACACACACACCTGATGTTTACTGTAACATTTTCACAGTGCTTGTGGCGAAATCCTCAGTTGGTCCAGCAGTTTGCCTCTGTGTTTGGGTTTTGTTTGAAGTTGTTCTCGACAAGCATCGCTATTGCATTTCATTTCATGTCATGCCTCCAGCTGCTGTAGATCATTTTCCTTGGCACATATTTTCCAAAAAAGAAAAAAGCTGTATTAAATGTAGCTTTTCCTATTCGCCGCTGTAAACTGGGTCCCAACACACGTATAGCTTCACAGCCATGAGAAGGCGATATCCAAGAATAGTAAATGATGTAACAGGATGCCATTTTGATGACTCCCCCCATTCATTAATGACGGACCAGCAAAACCCAGTCTGTGTAATTTCATCCATATGGAAGACAAATAATTGGACCGTAGCATTTCCACTATTTTTGATATTCCTACAAATTTGGGACTTCATAAGCCCGTCAGTGAAAACTCTAGAACAAAAACATAAAAAGTTACACTTGATGCACACTGAACTACGCATAATAAAAGTGAAGTTAAGGTTTATGTTCTAGAAAACACTTCACCTATCCATTTCTGACTTTTCCAATGAGTCAGGCTTTTAGAGCAGGCAGCTGAACTGCTAATAAATCCTTTTTTGGGCTGTTTATTCTCTTCCTGAGAAAAAGACCCATCTTCCAAAGTGGATTACGCATTAGATTTATCAAATGTTATTATGAAATTATCAGTAAGCTTATGGAATATATGAAAATATATTTATATATACTTTGCTTTTTCCTTCTCCACTCTTTGTTGTCTTTACTTGTGATGACATGTTTAATGCATTTTACTCCTGCAAAGCAAGCAGATTGTCTTCAAATCTTGATGAAGCTTAAAATGTTTGGGGGAAAAAGCAGAATATACTTATTTAATCTTAGATGCTTACTGGAAAAGTCAGACTCAACAAGGCTGTGCTTCTGGGGGGCATTGAGCTATCAGTAATTTCAAATGCAGAGGGAAAGCTATCATCAGTAGATGTATAGTTTGTTATTTGTTTGTGGGTAGCTGCAGTGGAGAAATGTCCTGTAGATGGATGTACCATCAACCTCCTATGAGGCCTATTGGGAAGTCATCAGATTTGCTGTGATGATGGTGTTGGTGATGGTGTCATAAGTCACCAAATAAGTAATCCTTTGAAGAAAAATGACCATGGCCATGGATAAAACAGTCAACTTCATGATGGTGGTAAATAAAAGAAAATACCATTTAAACAATGACATCACCTACTGCTTAATGTTGTTGCCTTTTGATGCCACCAGTTTTGCTGTTGCCATGTTGGTGCTTTAAAACTGGGCATCATGAGCAATAGGAAACTTGTCATTAGCTAATGAGGTTATCCAGTGCACATACTTTATAATTTTCCATAAGTTACAAATTAAACTTTGTGTTTTCAATATAACCACCATTAAGTCATCAGGAAAGTGTTTACTGAGGTCACAGAACAAGGGAGCCAAGGTTTCTTTTCCCATAGACTTCTACACAACTGGGAGACTTTTTGCAACCAGTGGAGTCGCCCCCTGCTGGCCATTAAAAAGAAAGCAGGTCTCTTTTGCATTGGCTTTACGTTTCCAAAGTTTAGTGAAAGAAACTACTTTCTTTCACTGAACCTTTATGCTGTCTATGAATAAAAGTCGAAAATGAGTGACATAGATTTTCTTTAACACTGAATGAGTATACTGTACTAACTCCTGGATATTTCACTGGGTTAAAGTAAAACCCGTTAATGGCCTTAATTAGGATACAGTCTCTGTCCTCTTGTCTTTCTTTCTTTTCTTTCTTTTTTTGAGGTAGAACCTGCATATTTGAAAAAGCCACAGTGGGACGATGGTCTCACATCCCTTTTACTTCTACCTGAGACCCCTCACATATTCATGCACACAGCCCCCTCTCATAAGCTGCGAAGAACACTGAGCCACTCTTCTGAGCATGTTTGTTTTAAAAAAGGGCCAATAACCCATGAAACTTGCTCCTTTTCCCTCTCTCTTCATCTCACTAACTCTCTCTCTCCTCCTCTCCAACTAGGGTAACATGGGAGCCCCCGGTCCAAACGGAGTTCCTGGACTTATTGTGAGTTGTAGTTTGTGTGTTTTCTGTGCACAATCTCGGCTGCAAATGTTTAAATGAAACTGAATATACCTGCAAAACTGGGGGGGAAAGGAGAAAACTTTATTAGCTTGCATTTATGTCGCCTGCCAGTTTGGTGGGAATCTAATTCATATATTTAATATAGATATTAGGTGAATGTGGATGGTTCTTAGACGCCAGGGCTTTTTTCACAGTGAGTGCAAAGCCTGAATTGTGCAGTTTATATCTGCTATTTTCTCACATGAAGAACAAGGCACTCGTGTGCAGTTTATCAATCACACAGACCTTAACAGTGCATCTTGTCCTCCTCTTGAAGCGCCCTTTTAATAACTATTTTTAGAACAGAGCTGCCCCCCGCCCACCCATCACCTTGCCCTCCATGCTTGCCCAGCCCGACAGCCGCATAATTGTGTATGATTATAATGTCTCCCTGGTTTCTCTTGTTGCGTCCCGTCTTCACCCATTGCTGCCACTCCTCCCGACCTATTCTAGGCCACCGGTGGTGGTAGTAGGCCTGTAATTGAAGGACTCTGATTACAGCCCTAGTCTGAGCTTTGTGTCCTCTTTATCCGTCTTATCCGTCAGCATAATGTACAGTACGTAGCAGCAGGACGGAGCGCCACTACAAAGATAAAAATATACAGTCACTCTTCTCTGGGGACTCCAAAGCTGAGAAGCTTTGGGTGAAGGCTGGCAACTACTGAAGTAGAGAAAATGTCTAGACAACGACTCTCACTTAGAAATACACTCAAAATAGATTGTTTCTCTTTTCTTATTTTTCCTTATATTTAACAGTTGAAAAATGAACCAAATTTCATTGTGTTAAAGACTGCCATTCTGAAATACAAACAAGACCTACTTTGATGTCATGAAGCCTCATCTGTGGCAGTTTTTCACCAGTATGATGTTTCCGAGTCTATGATTATGCTAGGAATCACTGGAGTTCATTATCAGTCTTCTCCATTAGCTGAAATCACATCTCACATCACATGTAATCACATCTCACCATCTCTGTGTTTTATTTGCAATACGCTGACTGTTTATGATGCATTTTCACTATTAGTACAAGTGCATGCTCCAATGCTGTTTGACATGTCTGTGCTGTTTGGTGTGCAATAGGATGTTTTTTCAATAAGTCCCAAAAGGTTGATTCTGTTCATCTGGACGAAGCGTTTTCAGTAGGAGAAACGTTTCGTCACTCATCCAAGTGACTTCTTCAGTCTCAGCTTACTGCAGGTTTCCCCAACCTTATAAAGAGTACATTTGCGCAATAACTGAAACTAGCCCACTGCATGATCAATGGACTGTGAAGTCAGTTCTTTGATATGCAAATTTTCATGACTGAAAACGCTAGATTAACAGAATCAGTCTCTTGCGATTTACTTACCTGGATGATTGAGCATGCATGTCAGCTGATCTCAGCTGACCCTTCTCACCCTGGACACAGTCTGTTTGACCTGCTCCCCTCAGGCAGGAGGCTCCGGTCCATTCGCACCAGAACCTCTCGCCATAAGAACAGTTTCTTCCCCTCTGCTGTCGGACACATGAACAATAACCGTATGACTGTTCCCACCACTAACACATGACCCTACGCTGTGTCACTGCATCATTCCATGTTTGGCACTGATCACCACCTGCACTCATGTATATATCATGTATATATCTATCTATCTACTTAGCACTTTTAATTCTTATTCTCATTTTTATTTTCATGTCTATTTAAGCTTAATTTATAACAGTGTTTATAACAGTATGTTTGCACTGAAGCACCGCAGCAATTTCCTAATGTTGTGAACCCGCTCAACATTTGGCAATAAAACCCTTTCTGATTCTGATTCTGATTCTGATTCTGATTCTGATCAAGACATGTTTTTATAGGGTTTCATATGTGCATAAATACAAAAACAGGCCTTTTTAGCCTTTTGCTAGCTGGTTACTGGGCAACCTTTTGGCATCTCATTGTATCATGCATAACTTAAGTTTTGAGGCTACAAATGAATCAGAATCAGAATCCGATGTTATGCTTGGGAAATAAAAATGATACGATCCCTTTGTAAGGTCTTATAGTTGTTAAAATGCAAAATCCAGGTTATAGATGCATTAGACAGATGGATTTCAATGTGTGCACAGAGCGGAGGCAAGTATTTCTCATTGCAGCATCATCCTCCAAAAACACACACAGAGACACACAAAAATACATAAGGACCTTCAAGTTTGAATACTTGAATACCCCAAAACTGCAAATCTGTATCTTTCGAATGTGCAAAATTCAGTTTCAGAGTTCATTTGTGGGGAACAAAAGTCTATACAGAAGTGAATCTGCTGTTTTAAGAGAGCAGCTAAGTGTCAAGTGAGAGTTCAGGTAGAGTGATAATAGACAAGAATTCATTGAAATTAAGATTAATGTGTTTCTTCATGCATTTCTAGCTATTTGTGAGCAGGAAATATGCCGTTGAAATTAACATTTAAGTGTGAGACTAGAAACTATAGAGCAGATCTTGTTGTTTTAGAGACAGATCAGTCCAGCAGGATATGACTTAATTATCAGGTATTAGATTCCATTAGATTAGAAGTTTGGGGGGAAGGTTGCCTTTTAACTCACAATACCAAATTAAGTGAGTTGCTCCGAGGTGCAATTTTGCAGCTTATACTTGATAACATCCTCTGTCAATTATTCACTGGGGCTAATGTTTGAAACACTAAGCCAAGGCTACTCTTTGATTTAAGCTTCAGATGCACAATCTTGGCTTTTGACCACAACATCTATTCATTCTTCCCGGTGTCAGTCATATATTATCATCCATTGTTTTATGTTGTGTGTGATGTGATAGCGAGGCTGGAAGCAAGACAGTGAATTTATTCTTAATCAATCCCAAAGAGCGCTCTTATTGTATATGTGTTTTTTACATTAATGAATGGGGCCTGGGCCACATCTTTGTTCGTTATGCGTGTGATATCATTATTTATTAATGTGTTTCTTGTTTATCCCATCTTCTTGCATTAGGGAGACATGGGACCTGTGGGACAGATTGGCCCGCCAGGACCTAATGGACTGAAGGTAATCTCTCACACACATAGAGATAGAAACTGTTGCCTTCACTGTCTTATTTTTATCAGTTATTGTATATGCAATAAAACAAGAGATTTTTAAGAAGGCCTATTTTAAGCTTTTGAATTTGGATTAGTTACCAGTTATGTGCCGTAAAGATGTCCTTTTGATCGAATTTGGCTTTTGAGGTGCCTTTCAACCAGTTTGTTGGTGCTTTTTCCAGGGGGTGCCTGGAAATCCAGGAGAACCAGGACTGAAAGGTGATAAGGTGATCTGAATATTCCTGTTATTGACCTGTGTTTAAGCAGCATGTGATGGATATGTAGTCTTTTGCATCCTACCGTAGATATTTCTGTCCAGAGTTTAGACCTTAAACAGCATGCTTTCATTAGGTGTCACCTGCAAATTAACTTATATAAACCTCTGAGGATTGTTTCTATTGGTGTAGATGAGGTTTCCATATGCATATTTTTGTGAAATCTATTATGGAAGCATTTTAATTTAAAGCAGCCAGCCAAGCTATTGAAGAAAATGAAAGAAAAGTAGACAGACATTGTCCTTGAAATTTAAAACAAACAGCAGCATGAAGAGACCACTCAGCACTGATGATTTAAGGAGGCTTAACTAGAAGGCCTTTTAAGGACAGCAGTAAAATCTGGCTGCCTCTACTAAAACCAGAACAGTGCACAATACCTTAATGATGGTAAAGCACAAATAGTCAGATCTGAAAGTGACTGAAAGACCTTCATCAGAGGCCTCATGTTTGAAATTTGGTTTATTGGACACTTCTCACTTTGCATTTGTAATTACTGCAGTTACTCATTATTACTCATTTGTTTTGTGCTGGAACGGCCTGCAAAACATGTGGTGTGGCAAACTGCAGCAATGCCTTTCATAATACATACTGACACCACATGGAATAGTTGGCTAATCCAGTAAATAACACTCGCTGTGTGTGGATATTCATAAAGTGTAAACTGCTAATTAGTATTGTCTGTTTAAAAAAAATAAAATAAAAGCTTGTATTTGGAAAAGTGGAACATTTCATTCCCCCCTAATGGTTTCCATTTTTTTTTTCTTTTTTTCTGTCCATACCTCATCCATCCACCTATGTATGCGTGTTCGTCTCCTCCTCTCTCTCTGTCAGGGTGAAATTGGGATTCCTGGAGAGCAAGGGGAGATTGGATTCAAAGGAGACAAGGTACGTCACCTTTGCAACACAGTTGTGCACGCCTCACATGCACACGCTCTCTATCTCACTGCTTTCTGACCTCCTCAGCCACCGTACGGAACGCTACCTGCAGTACACTCGTGTTACACAGCCTTTGTCTTTGCAAAATGACTTTTCCAGATGTCTGCTGTTCAGCTTAAGGAAATTCATGTGTTCACCCTCCACATTTGTCTCTGTGTGTAAGCAAAATTCAAATCCATCGCAGAGCAGAGTGGCCTCAAGAGATAGCACAATCTTGAACAGAGAGTCATGCATGTCGAATGTCTGCTTTGCTAGAAAATAAATTAAGCTTCTGATCCTGTCTGACTGTCTCTCTGAGTTTTTAACTTTTGTTTGTATTGGACAGGGTGTCCAGGGGGCCCCAGGTTTACCAGGCATCCGTGGGAAACCGGGACCACAGGTTAGTTCTTGTCTGGGAATGTATTCATGAAAACCAGGAATACATTTAACTGTTAAAATGTGGATAAGCAATTAGATAAGCAATAGTTTAGTTTTTGTTTGTTTGTTTGTTTTTGCCTTCATTGGTCCTTAAGCTATTTCCTTAATAGCCTTTGTGCTAACAGTTTGGCCAGAAAACAAAACTCAGACATACCAGTTAACTTAGCAGAAAGCTGAAAACTGCAAGCTCAGCAGTGTCAAAAGGTCCAAAACCTGCACATTATGTAATCTTTAATGTTTAAAGTAGGGTTTTTGTTAATCAACAGTAAACATAACTATTTTTATAGCCTGTTATGTCCAGGACTATTTCTTGGCCTGATGCAACAATTTCCTATCCATGAGGTTTACAAGCATCCATTAGAGTGTCCAGGAAGTCGCTGCTCTTTGCCAGGAAACTGTCACCAGCATTATATCAGGTCAAGTGGCTCTATAGTGTAGTGGTTTCTATAGTTGCCTAACAAGTGAGAGACCCCTAGTCTGATCCTAGAAGGAGGCACAAACCTTTATAGGGTTGCATCAGATGTAAAAAATCTGCCAAATCAAACATATGGAGCTACCCACTGTAGCGATCCCTTGTGAATAATGGAGCAGCTGAAAGTAGCATTTCAGTCTCTCAGGAAGTTAAGTCCAGCTTTACTAACCACACCCAGGACTGATTATGCCAGACTTGCTGAATCAAGAAATCACTTAAACAGAACCTGTCTGACAAAGTTAAGTAGATCTTAAAAAGCAGCACATCACGATGTAAAGAAACATCTGAGAAACAAAGTCAGGTGGAAAAGGGTTCCAGTAAACCACGGTGAGTGCCATTATTCACAACTTGAAACAGTGGTGAAGCTTCCCAGGAGTGACCGGCCGATCAAATTTACTTCAAGAACACATCAACGACTCATTTAGGCCTCATTTGCCTCAATTAAGGTCAGAGGTCATGATTAGAAAATAAGAAAGCGACTAGGCAAAAATGGCATCTGTACAAGAGAGGAGGAAACCACTGCTGACCAAAAAGACACACAAAGACTCGTCTCACATTTGCCATAAAACACCTTGATGAGCCGCAAGACTTTTGAGAAAATATTCTGTGGACTGACGAGACCAACTTTGAATTTTTTGGAAGCTTTGAGTCCCGTTACAGCTGGTGTAAAACTAACACAGCATTTCATAAATAACACCATACCAACAATCAAACATGGTGGTGGTAGTGTGATGGTCAGCATTGCTGGTTCAGGACGTGGACAACTTGCTGAGACTTGATTGATCAGTGAGCAGTGCTTTCGTACCTGTTGAGCTCATTTCAAACATAACCTGCTCCAGAAAAAGTTAGGTCTTTTGCCTTGCCAATGCACCCCATTAATAAGTGAACCACATTCATAAAACAGACAAACAAGTGGTAACACTGAAGTTACATGGATAAGCCCAAATCCTGCTTCGTAGTACAGGACTCAGCTGCTGGCTGTCCCAAATGCACAGACATTTGCAAATGTCACTGATCCTCTCATCTCATTTTCAGCATGAGTTTTTATTTCTTATCACATCCAACTGTTTCAAGTCTTTCTGTTTTACAGGGAAAGCCAGGAGAGAAAGGTCCCGATGGTACCCCTGGACCTCTGGGCCCTGAGGTTTGTATTTACTCCTTTGTTGTTGCATTTGATGTCTGTATTTCACAGACAGAATAATAATCGATGCCCTTTTTAATCTTGATAGGGTTTTCCTGGTGACATGGGACCACCAGGAGAGAACGGCCTTGAAGGACCAAAGGTTAGTAAAATCATGATCTAAGCTAAGCAGTCCCTAAACTAACTCATGATTCAAAACAGGGACAGAACTTGGCTAGTGCTCCACAGCAACACTGGGAGAGATACAGTGGCTCTTGAGCTAAATTATAACGCCAGCCCCCTAATATTCACATGATGATAATGTTTTTATGTATTTTCTTTTTAAGTAGGTGTAATACCACTGCCTTATTTTAGTTTTGAGCGTTACTTTTGCTTATACTTGATCATAAACTAAACATCATCTGGAGAAAGTTTCAGTAGATGATAGCATTTAATGGGGCGATCGTGGCTTAAGAGTTGGGAGTTCGCCTTGTAATCAGAAGGTTGCCGGTTCGAGCCCCGGCTTGGAGGGTCTCGGTCGTTGTGTCCTTGGGCAAGACACTTCATCCGTTGCCTACTGGTGGTGGTCAGAGGGCCCGGTGGCACCAGTGTCCGGCAGCCTCGCCTCTGTCAGTGCGCCCCAGGGTGGCTGTGGCTACAATGTAGCTTGCCATCACCAGTGTGTGGATGACTGGTTGTGTAAAGTGCTTTGGGGTCCTTAGGGACTAGTAAAAGTGCTATACAAATACAGGCCAAGGAACTGTCCGATAACACTGGAGTCATGAGGATTCGTCCTCTGGGGCCATTGTTGTCTGTCTCAAATTTTTATGGCTGTCCATCCAATCTAACTAACAGACCTGTATCATTTTCCCCATAACAGTGCTGCTACTGTGGCTCAAAACACATATGTAAATGCTACAATTACTTTTACAATTGTTTTACTGTCTTTTACCCATCAAGGGAAAACCAGGGGCTAGAGGTTTACCAGGCCCACGAGGGATCCCTGGCTTGGAGGTAAGACTCTCAGACGCCACCCACATAAGAATGACCCCGCTGTCCCTGACAGGCATTCAAAGATTTATGGCACAATGATTTTTTTATTTATTTTTTTGCTAAGGAACACTTAATGTCCCTAAAAATAAGCCATGCTAAGATCAATATCATCTGTTTCCAGGGAGACGAGGGCCCTATTGGACCACCGGGCCTAACAGGACTCGAGGTGAGTTATTGGTTAAACACCTGCTCCTATGAAAATAGAGGATACGAGAGAAAGATAGTCAGGTCTCATGTAGGCCATAAAACAAGGCTCATTACTTTCCACCAGAGTATCGTAAGTTAGAACAACACAATGTGCGCATGTTTGATCAGTGAAAAACAAGGGCTATAATTGCCTGTTTCTGTAGTTGTATCGTATAATTTAGCATGTTTGTCTAAATTGTATCCCATGCAGAAGCATCCTATTTCTATCTGTGGTAAGCTCCTCACCAAAGATAGAGGGAGGGGAAGGGACAGAGCTATCACTTAGACTGTGAAAAGCATTGCAATGTGATGCTAAATTTGTCCCCAAGCGTGACAATCAACTAAATTAATACTTACTGTTTAAATTAGCGTGGTGTTTGCACCCCAGGGTTAAACTTTTACTACAGAGTAGACAGTAACCTAACCACAAAGACAGAAAGAGCTATACAAGATCAATATGTGGCTTGCTTTAAATCATGTGTTACTCCTTTTAATTCTCAGCCAGCTCCATCGTACGTATTTTAACTTCACAGCTTTAGCTTTATGCATGCGCAACATTCGCTGTGCCACAGTTAGAGATCATATGAACGGTGATAAAGTAGGCTCTCTTTGTGGGTTTTTCTTGCTTTGGAGAAGTCAGAAGTCTTGTGTTCTGTGTCTTACACAGCCTCCTGTAGCCTCAGGAGATTTTACTCATGGTGCATGCAATTCTTGATCATGGCCACTAGGGGGCAATAATTGCAATCACCATGTTTATAGGTGGAACGATTTATAGGTGTCATAAAATGCTTGAAGACAGTAATGGGCCACTGCAGAAGCATAAGATTTGTGATTGTGACTATTAAAATATTTTTGAAATGACTGAAATTTTAAAAAATTATTTTCAGAATAAATATTTGGTCAAGCTTACACTTCACAGCAAAACAAACTCAGATGCTACCTAAGTAATTGTCATCCCATCCTTTCTTCCACTCATCTGCACTTTCTTTCAGCCTAACTCCCTCCACACTCACCCTCCTCCCACCCACTCGCCTGCATCAGACTCTAACCTCCTTTTTGTGCTCCTTCCGAGGGGAAGCGCCGTACGACTCCTCCGGGAGTTGTGATTGATCTCTGGCCAGGTGCCGCAGGTCCTCCTACTCCTCCACCTCATCAGCTAGCTGTCTTTCAGCTTCAGCACAGACTGACACTCTGTATCGCTGCATTAGCCTCTCTCTTTTTTATCCTCTCCCTCATCTTCTCATTTGCTCTTCATTTGTCTCTCTCTCTCTGCACAATGAATGATCTTCCTCTAATCTAAAAAAGATGATAAGAAGAATTCTTGGAAATCTCTAATTAACTGCAAGAATCTGCCTTCACCCTTTGTATCTTAGAGCCTTATCCAGCACTGCGTTGTAAAAGCAGCTGAGCAAACCTGAGTAAAACTTTGGTACCGTTGAGTCACTCAATCAAGAACTATGGCTCA